CCTTATAAATATTTTGAACCTCGAAGCTTGATTGAACAGATAGACCAAAATGATAGGCTAGTAGTCTGACTTTCTTCCACTCTATGTAGCAAGCAAATTTCTATAAACATTGATAGGATTAGCTGAAAAGGATCAGTCACTTAAATGTGTTTTTCGAGTTGGGAAGCCTTTAGTGGCATGTTATATGAATCTGTCATAGTAGATCTTTCAACCACCATTCCTGATCAAGAAGTTTAAGTTATTCAAACTGTTAAGTATCAGAATATCAAAATAATTGAGGCAACTTTGTGATCACAGCTTCGGCTTTGGGGCGTGTAGATATGCCACCTTCAAATTTGGCTGGAACAGTACTATCCAAAGGCAATACCAAGCGCTCGCATGTACTGTTCGGCCCATATTAGGCAGACACAATTTCAGTAACCAACTTAACTTGGAATTCAACAAGATTTGAATGAACACAAGATGGCTCTCCTCTAATAGCTTAAACTTTTATATGAGATATTTAAGATAGTATCAAAACCGAACAAGCACCCAGCTGGAGAATTTAAATGAATAGACAAGGACCCCTCTAATAACTTAAGCTTTTAGATGAGACGTTTGACAAGATCACTGTTGCTTTCTTACAAATTTTGGTAGATTTTCNCTGGAAAAGAGAATCTGGGTTTGCTGTAAAAAAGTCAACAGTCTATTCAACAATGTGTAAAATAGTTCCTTATACGGTTTATGGGGTATTTTCTGAGTTCTGTAAAAAGGGTTAAATTCTGAGGGAAAATTTGACGAACAAATAGGATATGATGAGGATACGGAATTATACAAGGTAAAGTGTAATTGCCGAATTGTTGGTCTGTGGCAATTATGTCGACCACCTGTGGGGACAATGATCCAGGAATTTTGGACGCAAATGCTAAACAGTAGACATAATATCGGAGTATATGTGACCTCCACACAAGCTAGTTTGATAACGAAGAGAAATTCTGCATTAGAATGAACTTTTACTTGACTCTAAAACTAAGGCTGGTATTAAAAATTCTATTCGACTCTAAAAATATTGAGAAATCCATTCCAAAAAAAATTCAAAAAATATTAACTTTTACATCAAAAACAATAAAACGTTGGACCTCCACACAAGCTAATTTGCTACTTAAGATAAACAAAGAAGGTAAATAGATAATTGCATTAGTTTTCTTACCCATCCAACCAAAGGTTCGAGTTCAACCAATTATTTTATCCCCATTTCTGTTCAAATTGGAACCTAAAACCTTAAAGGTATTCCGACTTTCGAATTCCAATCGAACATTAAACAATCCTCTGGGCTTGAACAGTCGAGGTGAGGGGTATTTGGGTTCCTTAATTTTCCATTAGATGCAATATTTGATTTCGATTCCTTAATTTTCCAGAAGTTTTACAAGAGATTGAGATAGGCAGGTTGGAGATTGAAAATTGTGAGAAGTGGGATTACGGTAGAGGGAGAGGAGATTATGCCCCGTTTGATTCTCATTATTTGTCCATTAAAATGAAAAATATGATCATTATTCATTACATCAAGTCACCATATTTGACTTTCTATTTCTTGTGTGGGACCCGTAACGATTATATTTTTCATTCTCATTTTTAGATTAACGTGTACCAAACGAGGCCTATATGTATATTACGTTTAGGGCTTTGGGCCAATACATTTAATCTTCCTCTCGGTCATAAAATGAGATTTGGGCTTAAGTAGTTGGGCTATTGTTTTAGTTGAACACGGGCTGATGGTTAAATGAATTAAGGGCTCAACTTTAAAAAATAAAAAAAGGGAAGAATTCACAAATCATGGTTTAACTATGCACAGTTCAAGACCCATGTTTTAAGTTTCACTAATGCAAAAATCAGGTTTTAATTAGTTAATTAATTTTTTTATTAATTAAATATAATGAGGTCACATTTATACAATTAATGGTTACATGAACATAATTATAGGTCACAGATTTTTTTATTGATCACATATAATCAAATTAATTGGTCACAGATTTTTTCGAGGTCACAAATCAAAAACCTTGTAGGTCACAGATAATTTCGAGGTCACATATCAAAAATTGTATAGGTCACAAGTCATATATTTTCAAATTTAATGGTCACAGATTACTTTTTAATCACAATTGATCGAATTTCAAGGTCACAGATTACAGTCACGGGACCAAATTAGTTGGTCACAGACACCCAATCCCGAGCCACCCTCACCCGGCACCACCACCAATGCCAACAAAATCCCCACCATCCCCGTTACTGTTGCCACCGCCATTGCCACCAACACCAACAAAAATCACCCACGACTCAGGTCAAATCAAATGCCAACTGCAATCACCAACCACCACCTCCTTCGACAGAAACCACCACGACTGCCACCACCAAACACACCAACAATACCCAACCCACAACCTCACTAATACTACTCACATCACCCCTGCCGGCTGCCAGCACTAGCACCTCCACCAACAAACACAACAAAAACACATAACCACCGCCAGAGCCACCCTCACCACCTCACAACAATGGTCAATTCGTCGAAGCCGTCCTCATCGCTGCAGCGACAAAGATCAGAGGCCGCGCACAATTCGTCGCAGCGACAAAGATCTGAGGCCGCGCACAATTCATCGCAGCGACTCTCGGATCCAAGCACCGCCACAGAGAGCCAAGCATGAACACGACGGAGAAGGTGGAATCCCGGAGAAGGTGACTGGCGAAGCTCTGTAGTGATGATACCACAGCCACGTAGAGCTCCTGGAGAAGGTGATCGACGGCGACGCTTCGCATAGTGGCGGTCCAAGCACGGTGGTCGCCTGCACGATTGGGCGCCAGATTGTTGGGGTAGGCTGGCCGCCTGGATTGTGTGTGTGAGAGGGAAGGTAGCGTTGCCTGTGGTTGGTTTAAATTGGGTTAGATTTTAGGGTTTGATTAATATAAGTTTTTAAATTAAAAATAATAATAGTTACAAACCTGGTTTTTGAAGAAATAAACTTCTTACCTTGATTATGAATTGTGATTTTTAAAGACCTGCTTGTATGTAATTTCCCCATAAAAAAAATTAAGGACTTCGTAGATCTAGGCTGGGGCGAGCACGGGCCGGCCCATGTGTAGATCCACCCATCGGGACATCTAGTCTAAAAGAGAGTGGTATTCTATCCAAATAGTCTTCTGGAGAGTGGGATTCTATCCAAATAAATATGTTTGGCTCTTCTTAAACAATTTAAGATAAATAAGTACTTATTTTGACTCTAAAGTAAGAACTACCTTTTAATCTAAAAGAATAGAAATAAGTTATCTAAGTCACTATTTGAGCCTCATTATTAAAAAAAAAAAAAAAAATTCTTAAATTTATTTTCAATCTCACATTCTCTCAATAAAATAATTTTACACGTGAACTCATTTTTTTTGTATTTTCTAATCACACATTCTCCAAAAAAGTAATATTACAAAATATATTGTTCCAAAAATGGGCTCAAACGAACCCCAAATATATTTCTGGACAAAAAGTTATCAGTTGAGTAATTTTATACTTTTTAGGCTTAGTCAAACATGGTCCAAATCTCCATCCATTTCAACTTCTTCTTTTCTTTTTTTTTTTTTTTGGATTTTTATCATAATTACTGAAAATTGTTGGAAAAGAAGGAAAAAGAAAGATAATTTTTAAGATTTGCCCCGTTCCTTCAATAACATGTTAATGACTTCATAGTCACATAAATTGATTGTCATCATCACTCTAAGTGATTAACACGATATTTTTATACCGAAAATTTGTGATTTATCATTGAGTTCATGTTCTTGAATGAGGTAATAGAATGAAAAAATTTGGATGATGAATTGTCCGTTTGATTTATTTAGTGACAAAATTAGGTTAAAACTTTTGATTTGATTTTAAACCTCAATTTTCTAGTTATTTAAAACCATTTCAATGAAAATTATTTTGTTAAGTAGATAATATTTTTTTAGAAGTGGATTAGATAGTATTGTACCATGTTTAAATGAGAGAAAATATGTTACAAACACTAAAAGAAAAATCTTATATGTGTCTTTTAATTTCTTAACGAGTTATTTACATAATATAGAAGTTTTAATTTAAGGGGTTATTCGACAAAATTGGATAAAATTTGAAGTTTAAAATTTGATAAAAATTATGAATTTCATAAATGTATTATTAAGCCCTTGTTTGATCCTCATTTTTATCAAAGTGTATTTA